AGGAGGAGGAGGAGGAGGAGGAGGAGGAGGAGGAGTATAACACTACAAAACCAAAACAGTTTGGACAGCTCGTTCATGTGTCCCCATTCTTTCCGCCCCCAGGTTCGACCAACTGTACTGTCGAGTCTCGTCCTCACCAGGCCTGAGCACAGACATTGGCGTGATCATTGGAGCGTTAGTGATCACTATAGGTACCAGTGTCTTCGGCCATTGGTCAAGATGACCTGAGCGTTCCTGAAGTTATCTCAACCTGTTGAATTGGGCATGTTTTGAAGCCTAAAATGTTCCTTAAATCCACAGACGTTTCATCCTTATTGCCATTTTTCAAAAAATGTAAAACATGTTTCATGATCATCAAATCTTGCAAAAACAGTGAGTTGTAGAGCAGTAAGAAACTATTTGAGAGTAGCGTCTACTATAGTAAATGTGTCACGACGTAGTGGATCCAGGAGCTCGTCAATTTTTAATTGGTATATGGAGTTATTGGTATCGTCTAAAAGCATGTCCTTTTGCCTTGCTTTCGATGAAAAAATACCCCTTTATCTAGGATACAAGTCTACAAATTGGCGATTGAAGGAGGTGGGGTTGCCTGGGTTCAGAGGTAAAATTAGCGAAAACAAGGCCACCAAAATTTAGTTATTTCCTAAGCTTGAGAGCCTGTGGAAACTTAAAATGTACATCTTGTATGCATTTAAGCAACGTTTTCCCGTAAAATCTACATGGAAAAGTGTTTTTAAAGGGCATAAAAGGAGTTGAGCCGAAAACAAAAAAATCTGATAAAAATTCCTAAACCTGCGAATTAAAAAACACAGTTTCTCCCCTTTCATTATTTTGACGAGCGCCTGATTTCCCCACGCTGCCTCACATTGGATCCTATCCAATGCCAGCCACACACTATGACGTTTCCGGGGTGGTTTGGGGGGAGGGGGGAGGTCTTTTTTGTTTATGCTTCTGAACTGCACCCTCCATAGACAGATATGAAAGAGATCAGGACAGAAGACTCAGTTTTTAATTTTTGAAAGAGTTTGAAGGCACTTGCAACACAATAAGGTCATATAAGTGCCTGAGATTAAAGGCATTACAAGAGAGTAACAAATACAAAAAAGGAGGAGAGATCAAAACAGCTGATGTTTGATCAGAACGAAGGAGCAAACGACCACAGAACACCCGCTAACCACCCGCATGGAAGACTCAATTCTCAATGCAATAGAATACCTCTTTATTATTTGACCCCATATAGAAACTCCAGGTACAAGACATGAACAACACATACCTACTGCTTAATGTAAAACTCTGCCGTTATGACATTTTGAAAAGTGACGTATGACGAAGTCTTTCAAACAAATAGGTGGTTGGCTGGTGCTATGGTGTGGTTCGTTATTTCTTTCCTGTCCAATGTCTATCATCCTTATCTCTCCACCTTCATGTTTGTATTATAGAGGGGAAAAAAAAGAAGAGTAAAAACGGGATAACAGATAAAGAGACCGAGAGAGACAGAGAGAGAGAGAGAGAGAGAGAGAGAGAGAGAGAGAGAGAGAAAGAGAGAGAGAGAGGGGGGGGGAGAGAGAAATAAAGAAAGAAAGAAAGAAAGAGAGAGAGAGAGAAAGAAGACAATAATTGGGATAAAAGATAGAGAGACCTCTAATTTTCGGCTTTTATATGATCTAATTGCGTTGAAAGTGCCGTAAAACGTTTACTTAAACAAGGAGTCTTACCCTGAGCACTTGATACATAGATTAAATTATATAATACACATTACACATCACCAGGATACAGCCGATATAGGCACGCCACTGGTTGTCACCGCAATACATCGTCTTGCTATGGCTCTCTCGTTTTATAACTAGGACTAAATCAAGGGCACTTCCCAGTGGTCATCCTTCTATACGTCCCATCATTGACCTTGCTGGACATTATTTGAGCATCCCAGTTCACGTATCATTAGACCACTGTTACCTCCACACAAAGTAAGGACAGAGAAAAGGTGTCGTTCTTACGGTAGAGTTGGAGACTAATATCTACCTCCCCTACAACGTATTGATAAGGCAGCGGGCTATTTCAATTTCCCTTGTTCGGTGGATGCTGAAAAGGAGCTTGAAACAGAGGAATCTAAGAACAGCCTTTGGTGAGAAGCAGACGAAAAGGGGAGGGTTTCAGGGAAAGCCGACTCACAAAACCACTGGCAGAGAGAGAGGGAGAGGGGGGAGTCAGAGAGATAGAGAGAGGGGGGGAGTCAGAGAGAGAGAGAGAGCGAGAGAGAGAGAGAAAGAGAGAGAGAAACAAAAAAAGCAAGAAAGAAAGAAAGAGAGGGAGAAAGAATAAGAAAATAAACTGGATAAAAGATACAGAGACAGCAGAAAGAGAGCGAGACAAAAAGAGAACGAGGCAGAAAGAGAACGAGACAGAAAGAGAGAGAGAGAGAGAGAGAGAGAGAGA